GAGGAGGAGGAGGATAGAGATGATGGGGACGATGGCGATGACGGGGGCGATGATGGTTATGAAGAAGAGGAGGAGGACGAGGAAAATGAAGTTTTTCTGTAAAGGGACGATATGTCCGCCAAATGAAACAACTACTTAATGCTGCTACTTAATCAAGTAATCGCTGTGGTTCGCAGGTTCTTCTGCGCGTACGGAGAGACTGCGTGACTGATGAATTAAACTCTGGGATATTCCTTGAGCATACTAGAAAATGTAGGAATCTTGTAAAAGAGCCCTCAAAAGCGCATGCCAGACTGTGACAAATGCCACACCTGGAGAAGGCGATATCGACGTTTTACTTAGAGAGCTGCTCATCAGTCTCCTCCGAAGTTTGTTGTTGCCTTCCGGAAAGAAATACTCTCATTCTTGTCATTACAACAAATGAGAGTTGGCCTGCCCTTTAATCTCTAGGTGAACTTGGTCGACGACTGCAGCGTCTTACTCCTCAGGTCCCATGCTCAGTCCTTATCAGTTTGATTGCCCGTAACCAGGGTGTTGAAGGTATTTCAATGTGGTGTTAAAGAAACAAGAGACTATTCAGATATGCATTTTACTCCAAAATTTTGCCGTTGTCCGACAAACGGACAGCAAAGAATGGGCGGCTTTCGTAGGAGGTTGAGGGTTCTAGTCCAGCTTGCAAATTCGTTGGTGCGAGGGGGATGCGGGGGCTTGGACTGATGCTTCCTACGGAAAATGGTTGGCGACAGTCCCACGAGAAGAGTAGACATCGACGTATCGTTGTGGGCTGGTGGTTTGAAGGTGAGGGAACTGATGCTCGTCGGCGTTGACATCTGGGCTTAAACAGTCTAAACAGGACCCCCCACCTCCATGAACTCTTGTGCTTATTGGACAGGTGCCCTAACGACACACGAGAAGACGGGTTGCTCGTTAGCCTAGCTGTTGGCCACCCGGTGGCGGGTAGTGGAACAGCCTTTAGTGAAGGTTAATTGCGAAATAAGCAGACCAGCGGACCAGCAGCGACAGTGCTACCAGGGTGCGGAGGGCTGAGGTCTCGTAAACTGAAAGCCTTATAAAAAGCCCCAAAGCCCGATGACGGTATTGGGACATGGCGACCATAAACTGCCATTAAATAAGTTTGCTTGCCACCTCTGCCTTGTGTTTAGGCTTTTATGCCAAAGTGCTAGAGGAGACAACCTCGAACAAACATTCCGAGCGGCTTTTGGGGACCTGCCTATATCCGAAATTCCCAAGAAACGTCATGCAATATGACCGAAAACAGTACTACGGCGCAAGCTATGGCGTCCGCGGGAACCTATGCGCTCCGCAACTGTGGTCCAGTGGTGCGGACGAATAGCATGCGAGCTAGACTACTCAATCAGGGACGGACTCTTGGTATTGGATACTGGAATGTACGAACTTTCATGGACCCCGGTGTCCAAAGTCTGACCGCGCACAGCCTTGATCAGTACAACGTGTATGTTTGCTATCTGTCCGAAGTCCGACTTCCTGACTCAGGCTCCCGCGAAATAAAAGTCCCTGGAGTCGAATCACACCTTACCCTGCACCAAAGCGGCCCGCGCGACTCTTCTGGTAGACGTGGTGTGGCTATCGCCCTCTCGCAGCAAGCGGACCTCGTGTTACTTGCTTGGGAACCAGTTACTGACCGGATGGCCTACGTGAGACTGAAGGATCACTTCCCGAACATCTCCATCGTCTCTGTTTACGCACCAACTTCATCTGCCGAACAGCGCGATAAAGAGGCGTTTTACTCGCAGCTGCAAGCGTTTGTTGAACGACTCCCTCGACGCGATCTGCTGATTGTCACCGGGGATTGGAATGTTCCGACTGGACCTGGCCACTCCACAAACCGTCATCTTCTTGGCCGTTTTGGGATTGGTTCCCGATGTGAAAATGGCGAGAGACTGTGGGACTTTGCTGATCAGCCCGTGCTTCCAGCATCGCAAAAAGCATCTGCTGACCTGGTATTCAAACGACGGTCATACGGCCTGTTAGACTGATTATATACTAGTCAGCTCAAGATTCCGCAGCTCTGATCACGATAGCCGATCTATGTCTGGCGCCGAGACTGGTAACGCCCATGGGTCGGACCATGCCCTCGTTCGTACACGATTGAAACTTCATCTCTCATCCACGCCAAAAATTTCACCTCCTAGACGCTCCGATCTTGCAAAAATCGGGCAAACCAGCACTTCTGAGGCCCTGAGCGGAGAAATGCGTTTCTGTGTTAGGACCCGAGCCGACGGAGAAGGCAGTAACTTGTGGTCGTCACTGAAAACGTCAGTCTATGGGGCAGCTGAGAAAACCCTTGGATATACCCAGCGACGCTGCAGTGACTGGATCAGCGGAAGAACCCTGCAGTTGTCTGTTCAGACGGCTCGAACTAGGTCCCGTAATGATGCTTCCTTCCGTCAACTTCGGAAGCTGACGGCAAAGTCGGCCACGGATGACCGGAAGCAATATTGGGCTAAAATAGCGACCAACTTATCCGCCAGATTATTGGTAAGCCCTCTACACTGAGTGACTCAGTTCGAGACGTGAATGACGGCTTTATTTCTGACATTTCGGTCAAAATCGAGCGCTGGCGTGAACACTTCGAGCACCATCCCAACTTCGATACGCAATTCACCTTGCCTTTGTTCTCATCTACAGTGGAGCTGTTTCCCTTTCCAACCTATGCAGTGCCATGCGACCTCCCTTCTGAAGGCGGAGTCGCCGATGCAACAACAAGGCACCAGGAGAGGACGATATACCAGCGGAAATCTGCAAGTCTTGTGTCGACGCCCTGGCGCCCTGGCTCCATGAGGTGATTGAACGAGCGTGGAGAGACAAGGTTGTTCCTGATGACCGGGGCTTAGGCATCCTTGTACCTATCCTCAAGAAGGGAGATAAGACGAGATGCGAGAATTATCTCGGCGTAAACCTCATCGACTTTGCTGTGAAGATCTTTGCTGTTGTCCTACTCAGGCGATTCCAGGTTGTGACTGACTCTAGGGCAAGGCTCAACCAAGCCGGATTTCGTGCTGGACGTGGATGCGCGGACCAGGTATTCACACTAAGGCACATTCTGGGATTTCGCCGTAGCTACCGGCAACCGACGGCCGTCGGCATTGTTGACTTTGCCGCCGCATTCGATTCTGTCCACCGTGAGTCCCTATGGCGGATAATGGCACTAGATGATGTACCGCCAAAAATCATGGCCATGGTCAAGGCCTATTATCGCTCCACAACCACGCGAGTCGTGGTCTGCAGCAATCTTTCCCAACCGTTTGGCATTCGGTCTGGCGTTCAACAGGGTTGTATCCTGTCACCCATTCTGTTAAACTGCGCTATTGACTGGATT